ATTCATTTTGTGATAAACTATAGATTAGTCCAAATGGCGGTTGAGCTTTTTCTTGAAGGTCAATTGAGTAGTCAGAGGGATGATTTTTTGGAAGAGTATCCATATTCTTTTTTTCAAATACATCTTTAAATTCTTGATATTGGTTGAGAATGCTATTTGAAGACTTTGCATTATTAGAAACATGTGTGGCATAAATGACATAAAATGATCATTCTTTTGTACCATACAAGAAAGCTCTTGCACATATAAACATAGGTTTAATTGTACTAGACTTATGTCTTTCTATTAGATTAATTTCACTCTTAATTATGCTTTTAGATAAGTCAAGGATATGAGAAATCTAATCTATGAAAAGATTATATTTTTTTAACCATGATAAATCAAAAATGATTGGATTAGAGGGAGATCTAATTATATTAAAGATTATGCAACTACTATAACCATTTATTGTTATATCTATAGGAAGTATTTCATTTGTAATATCTTCCAAAGATAATGGACGACTATCTATGACTTCTACATGAACAGATTTAGTTTTTTGTAGTAATGGAATTTTATGACTTTTAACAAATTCTATGTCTAAGAAACAAGCTGAGGCTTCTAAACCTATCAAGGTGGAGGCTTTATAATTATTAGGTCCTAAATATATATTTATTATAAAACAAGGAGAGGATTCTGAGGAGAAGATAGGACCTTCATTAAAAATTGTACAAGATTCTAGCCGCACAATCTCTATTGTAGCTAGACAAATTTATTTTCCAACACATTATTTTCTTTGATAAATGTACTTTTCATTTTATAATTTTTTTGTTTCTTTGAAAAAATTTGAGTAATATGTTTAGGTTCTCTACAATATAAGCACAATCTTTCTTGACAATGATGAGTCTTTTCTTACTCAGTAAGAGGTTTAAAATATACCACATCAATTTGTATATCTTCTACTTTTGAATGTATGTATTGAAGAGATGTTGGTAATGCCATCGAATTGTAGTAACATTGATGCTTATTTGTACGACTCTCAAATCAAAATTCAAAAAGTCGATTGTCATATTTCATAGCAAAGTCAATTGTTTGATTCAATGTTTGAAGATCAGGTAAGTTGAGCATCAATTTCTTTACTTCATATTATAATCCATAGAAAAATTGGCTAATAAGTACAATATCATCCCACTTGATATCAATTACAAGTTGTCAAAATTATGAAGCATATAACATTACAAATCGATTACTTTATTGTAACATATGGATCTTATTCGTTGCAACATAAGTTGCATCATGTTCTCCATACATAGACCGAAATTCCACCAAAAATACCTCCAGATTATCCAATATTGGATCTCGTCATTCAAAAAAAGATGAAAACCACGTTAGTGTTGAACTTGAAAGAAGTGTACCAATGAATCTAACTTGTGATCTTGAAGTTGGATAGATTTGAAATTGAAGTTCAATCACAAGTTGTACTTGATTGATAAATCCTCAAAATTTGGATCTTATACCATCAAACTTCTCAAACAAAGCAATTCTTGGTTCTCTAACACTTGAAGGATGTTCCATCATGGGTGGAAGGACATGATTTGGTGCAGATATTAAAGCAACTCTAATCATCTCTGTATCCTCACTTCCTGCCATTATTATTGATTCTTGTAGTGGTAAGCTAAGTTGATGCATTGCAAGCATCAACTTCTTCAATTGCTCTTGCATTTGTGCCATTGCACTCTTTATTTTAATAAGCTCTACCATAATAACACTCAAAAAAATATCTAATACCATTCAAGTCAAGTAAAAGAAAGAACTTGAGAACAAAAAAAATACTAAGAAAAATATCAATTTAGAAGAGGGTAATCCGTAACTTCTAATATACTTACATCTTATCATGAGAAACGAATAATCTACTCTTAATCAAGATAAGATAAAGCTCTAATATTATAAGTGTACTCTTATCAATTTGTTAAAGACATGAACTACAAGATGATGCATAAATCAATGAAATCCATATCAAAGAAAGAGTAAAAAATAGAAGTAAAGAAGTGCATATATTAAAAAGAAAATAGAATAGCTTATTGCCAAAAGAGAAGAAAACTTGAGACTCTTGAAACTAGAGTAGAACCAAGAAATGAGTTGATAAGAGTGAAGAAGACTCCGCTCTTGTCTCTATATATACTATCTAACTAAGGGCTACATGGCAATGTTCTATAGGACCTCTAATATGTGTTGAATTTGTATGATACATGCCTTGACTTACAAAGCAAGTTTTTCTATGTGTAAACCACATAATTAATTTAGTCTTCAAACTAACAATATATATAATAAATGGTCAACTTGTTGACTACTTTTCTAATCCAAAAAGATAATTATAGATACCTATAAAGTCAAAGTAGTATCTATGAAGCTTCTAAGAAGCTTCTATGAAAGATATTATAGAATTAACTTATTTTTATCACTTCTACTTATTTCTACTTATTTATACAAGTAATTACTAGCTTACATGTGTATGTCTGTGATACATATCTACTATTGACAATCTATTTTCTATTTTTTCTTAATAATTCTATTATTCACTCAAAAAAAATTTTGATTTTAAGTACATTAAGTATATTTTTTTATATTAAATATTCAAGTGATTCAATTCAATGACTCACAAAAGCATAAGATAGTTTAGAATAATATTGTCGAGAAGAGTTACTACTCGATTTTGGAATATGTGAGGATCTATTATTTTTAATAAATTTTCTTTCATATAAAAAGTACTATTTTTAGAATTATATTTTAAATAATTCATTGATATTTATTATAATATATTAAATAATTATGTTGAAAAACTTAAATCATTAATTCTACCTTGGAAAGTAATGAATGCATTCCATGAATCAAGAAGAGTAGCTAATAATAAATTGACTTATTGTGATTTTGTGAAAATAAAACTAGTAATAATAGCTTCCTTGAGAATATACTTCTAATTTTTTTTATAAATGCATGAATATCTTCATTCTCATTTATAGTTAAATGACAAAGATTCTTGTAAAAATATATTTGAGAAGCTTTATTTGATTGTTTGTAAGTATGCTTGATTTAATCCCAAACTACCTTTGATGAAGACAATTTGAGTAGTATTATAAGTTACTTATCTCTATAATACAAAAGTATTTGTGCAAAGGCTTTGACATAGTTCAAATTCCAGACATGATATTGTATCAAATTAAATGTATCAAATGCAACTTTAGAGCCATTAACTACTCCCCATAATTCTACTTGACTTCAGATAATCTCTATTTTAATATTCCAAGTGCAATAGTTATTTGCAAAAAATAAGGATATTAATAGAGTACAATAAGAGCTATGAAAAGCCATAGTAGATAGAGTTTCTTACTTATACTAAAGAGAATGAAGGACAATTTGTACTCTAATATCATGTAAGAGAAAGAATAATAAAAATGATAAAATAAAGCATGAAGTATATTAATAAAATAACTTCATTACATCATATTCATAAAAGCCTTTTATATTGTCTTATGGAGGGAAGTAATCATAACTTCTCCATAACTACTTTGTAACTACCTAAAGGTAATTCTTCATTTACTAACATGTATTAATTAATCTAATATATATTAATAAATCTAACAAGGAACTGGTTTGATGAGGCTCGAATGCTCAATGTAATTATATTAGCTTCCTCATTGATACAATAATATCTGCCTCTCATAAACCAAACAATGCAATTGTCAGATATGAAAGATAGACTAATTAATGATCTTCTAGTGGCTCGCACTACAATCTGTAGTAACTTAGTGTCCTTACAAATAACCTTGTAGTCCCTAAAATTTGTACTTCAAATCGGGTGGAGACGAGCTCTGCGCAATGCAGATGGGTTTGACTCTAGTCCAATGAATACTGGGCAGAAACATAACCTTGTGTCGAGTTTTACAATATAACTCAAGGAACTTCTATCCTGTTTCTTTGTAACCCCTAATGTTGCTAAAACATTTCAGCATCAGATCTATAATCTATTAATAGTAAAATCTAAAGTTAAATTCGCAACACAACAATAACAGTACATCATTCGATGGCTTGATAGCATTTTAAAATAATTCAATTTTGACCAGAGAGATTTTTAATTTGACTTACCTAAAAAGTCCTCCCTAGATCCCTCATTTTCGTTGGCTTTGATGTTCTGATCTTGCAAGGGGTGAGGGGGGTGGCCTATGGAACTCTTTGCACTAAGTGTGTTGGTGAAAAGTGAGGAAAGGCTGTACTGGAGCAATTTGGAGGAAGAGCAGGTGAGATTGGTGTGTTGGTTTCTCATGGACATTACTCGGAGCGTCTACTGCAATGAATTTGAGTATGAGCTACAAAAGGTAGAAAGAAGCAGTAAGTCTATTTTACATTGTAAGAATGTTGGATAGGCCTTGGAGTTGAATTGTGAAAAAAGATTAGTGAGAACAGTGTGGTGTGAAAAAAAGTTTCTAAAAACACCAAATAATACTAAATGTTTTGGTGAATAATTGTATTTTAGTGACAATGAATTCATTTAAGATTCAAGTGGGTCAATTTAATATTCCCAGAAAATAAAAGGTGATTAAGAATCCGCAGCATTATCATACTAGTTGTTTCTGAACTCTAATTACGATGTAGTTATGTTCAAAGTGGGAACAGCTGATTTGTTGAGAAAAGAACTTACATGGAGTTGTACTTGCTGGTGTATGGTTTGTACAACTAAGCATCGTTATTCCTGAGGCATGCAATGAAGTGAACTAGACTGGTTTGCATTACTCACTGGAGTGGATCAAGAGGCTCCGGAAAAAGCCAAGTGGTGATAATCGGTTGAATCAAGAAAATCCTCGCCATGTAGATCGATAAGAGAGGCTGGTTGCTGCAGTGAAGATCCAATCAAAAGTTCCATGAGGTGGGAGTGGGCATGTAAAGGACCGCAATACTTTTTTACCTGTCCGCCACTTGGGAAACTAACGTGCCTCAGTGCCTGCATGGACACGTCTCTCCTGCGAAGCGGCTGGTTTTTGCAATCAGAATTCCTCTCCATATATTGCCCAACCTGAAACCATGCTTTCAGAAGTCAAGCTCTAGTGTGTACTCCTATCTCTGTAAACATTGCAGTTGCATCAAGGAATACTTTCAATCTCGAAATTTGTGAATATCCAGGTGAGTGCACTGAACGACATCTTCGGTAGTTGCTTCATGTAAACCATGGAAATAGGTGTTACAATTTGCAGGAATTAGTAGAAATGCACTGATCACGCCATCGGTTCAATAAACGGGGTAAAGAAATCAGTCTCTGTGGGAGACAGTTAGAGATCTTTCCTTGACAATGTTAGATACATCCTTGTTGACATGATAGCAGTCGTCCTGCCATTTTTTGTAAATAAATCAGAGTCTTGGTCAAGAACATTACATAACATTTCCAGTGGTTGTGATTGCGGTTGAGTCAGTGTCTGATGATGTTGCAACATCATTACAACGATTTCCATTATTTTCCATGAAATATTTGTGTCGGATTAAGTTGGCTCGTCTGCAGGCTTGTTAGTTATGGTGCAATCTGAATCTACGAAATCGCTGTGTGAAACACTCGTTAAACGCCGATTCTGATTTATGAAACCTAATTCCAATCCGTTTTCACCTTCATTCGGTGCAGGAGAGTGCATTTCATTCATACTCAGAAAATGGCAGCCATGGCAACAGTGAACGGTACATCAATAATGCAGACTACCAACTTAGCAATCACACCCGTGGCTGCAAGCCATTTGGGCTCGCGCACCGTCCAGCTCGGAGTCACACGCGTACTCTACAACGCCACCCTTACCACCAGGTCTGCAAGGAGGCTCGTCGTGGTCGCCGCCGGAAACCCGGAACGAATTGACAACTTCGTCGACGGAGCCAGGAAAGACGCCAGCCAAAACGCGAAGAACTTCGGCAACCAGGTGGCGGACGCCTTCGGCAACGCCCAGGAGACCGCGAAGGACGTGGGTCGGGACATGGGCGCCAAGGCACAGGAAGCCGTCGACCAAGGCAGTAAGAAGGTCGACGAGGCAGGAGACAAGGCCAGGGATGTAGCCAAGGAAGTGAGGGGCTCCACCGAGGATACCTTGAATGCTGCCAAAGCAAACAACGGCCAATCTGTTGCGGTACATTCCATGGCCTCTACGTACCGCATTCTTCCAACCTCAAAAGCATAGATCACCCAAAACCTTAACTAATCCGATATTCTAATCTGTGAGTTACGTCGCTGCAGGACAAGGCGCAAAATGCTGCATCCAACGTGGGTGACAATTTGAAGCAGAACTTCGATTACGGAACTGGGGCCGTGCAGAACGCCGCCGATGACGCGAGCAAAAACGTGAAAGACGCCACTAACCGCAACCTCTAGATTTTTAGGGTTTGCGATGTCGATGTGTACAGGAAAAGTTCTGTACAACCGAATCTAAAAAGTATATTTGTTATTAAAAAAAAGGTATCATAATCAGGAGTTGTGTTCGAAGATTTGATTTCGTCTCAAACTTTTCAATGTAACTATTTACTTTTATAAAGTACCTTTTGCCTTGTATGATAATGCCGTCTTTCCTAGTGTTTGATAAGTTGCCTTTCTTGACAACATTGTCGTGCATAATATTACTTTGATAAAGAAGATTGAAGTAAAAGAAAATGGTTTTGAATGATAAGTTCATCTCCTCAGTATATTATTTGTATCTTGTTGGAGAATGAAAGTGATCAGCAAGTAAATGTAATCAATTTCAAACATAAGAAAAGTTTTACATTTATTTACATGTGCAAATAATAAAATCATTTTAAGATAATATAGAGTATTACAAAGAATGAAACAAATTACTGATGATGCAAAATGAAAAATTTATGATATCAATCTTCACCTTCACAAGTAATACAGCTATAATTTAACTATTATAAATATATATATATATATATATACACATTTAACTTAATTTTGATTATAAATAAATAAATATATATATATATATATATATATATATATATTCTATCTAAAGAGATGTTGTTCCATATAAGATTATTTTTTTAATTCTCTTATCTACATAAAAATACAACTTGAGACATTTACTTGTGTTTTATAAATTTTTATATTTGTACTAATGTATTTTATTTTATGAATTTTGCAAGAGTATTTCTAAACTATAAAAAAATTATTTAAAAAATATAACTAAGACATATCTATAGTTTTTATTCTTTATTTAAGTACTTATTGAAAAAATAATAGAAAATTACAAAAGAAAATTAAATTCCATTACCTAACATAATTTGTAGTAAAATTAAAAGTTATTTAGCAAATACCACAATTAAGACTAAAACATAAAAGGTATAACATGATAGAAGATTCTATTATAGATAAATGCTTTAAACCATGAAAAGTATTTCAATTAGACTACTTCTTTAAATAATAAAAAGAGTTGGACTTACAAATAAAATAACATCCTAGTAAATAAGAATAAGGTATGATACAAGAAGTGGCATGTAGTATAGAAATAAAACTTCAAGATTATATTTTAATAGTATGTATAAAAGATTAGTTTAAATCCAAAATAATCAATTTTAAAAATTAGAAAATCAATTGCCTATAATAATGAAGTCAAACAATCTTATCTTCAACCTTCCATAACAAAATAAGAAAATATATACTTATTATTACAAATGTGTAACAATGAAGTTAAAAGTGATAAATAGAGCTTATAAATCCAAAACATAACCAGGAAGGTATAGAACTAAGGCAAAGTTGTTTAATAGACGTTACTCTTTAATTTTTTTTTGGTTCTCAATTAAAATTTTAGTTGTCGTCAAAGACTTAAGACTACTTTTAAAAACAACCAAAATAATAGAGTTAAGAAGTAATTGCTATAAGAAGGGGAATAGGTAATTGATCTCAATAATTTGTTACTTCAAATTAAAAATTGTATACTATATATTTTTATGTTATTATTTACGATATTAAAATAATTTACAAATTATGTTAAAATTTGAACAATCTGGTAATATTTTAATACTACTAATGTACAATTTAATTAGAATAATTTCAAAAGAATTCTATGGCTGTTGATAAAAGGAAGAAGAATATAGTATCTTTGAGAATTGTTTTGATTAAAAAATACTAAATCTTGCACAAAAAGATATAATATCTATATTATTATTTTTCTTTTATTATTTATTTTATTAATACATTTTAATTTAATTTTTAATAATTTTTAAATTGACTATTACAAAATACTTATTAATAAGTATAGTATTTTTATTTTATTATATATATATTATAATTAATGATTTAAATAAGTAAAAAATTGAAAATAAAAAAATAATTTTTTTTATAGAAATAATTTTGTAATAAGTGATGATTGCACTACAGAAATAGAAAAAGAAAAAAAATGATACATCTTCTAATTGTTGTATAAATCCATTCTTCAAAAAATAAGTGATAAATAGTGTTTTTATTTTAATACCTTTGAGCATCTTAGATTACTTTTTTAAAAATTAAAAAATTAATTTTAGATACTTAGAGCAATTAAAAAGATAGAAACCAAGTATTGAAAAGACTTGGTAGTTTTTTAATATTTTTACTAGTACTCAAAAAAATAAATCTTGGAATATAGGATTGAAAGACAAACGGCATTATTAAATCATTATCAATAAAATAGTCATATAAAATCAAAAAAATAAAAATAAATAAATAAATCTTAGACCACCACAAAAGTATAAAGAATATCTAAATCATCTTCATAAAAACATAGTAAAAAGAAAATATATATATATATACTGCAGTAATTTTTAATTTTTTTGAGGAATAAAAGATAATAAAAATATTTTTCTAAGCAAAAGCCTAGAGCTAGATGTAAACTAGATCTAAAATTTTATTAAAGAAGACAATGGAGGTCTTAAACTTAAGGCTATACTTAACCCATTATTTAAAGATAATTAGACCAAATTCATGAGATGACAAGATCAATTATCAACCTTAAATATAAATATATATATATATATATATATATATATATATTGAGAGAAGATAAAGGTTAATATAAATAAGATAACTACGAGAAATAATTTATTATAATTTTTAATAGAATAAAAAAAATTACCTAAAATTACAATATTTAGTCAAAAACTAACAAATCTCAGGTAATTTTTTTAAATAATTGATTTTCTTAAAAGCAATTGAAATTTCATATTATTATAAACTAAAATAATATAATTGAGTAATTTAAAATTATATTTTTTGAAAAATAAAAATATCTTAATTTTTATTTATTTATTTATTTATTTAAATTCTAAATCATGATTTATTCTTCAAAGACTATTTTCATCAAAAACCTCAATATCTAATAATTCAGTATATAAAATAAAATAAAGATTTAGATTATTCAAAGAACTTCAATATAAGTGTTTTAAAAAAAATTATTGATTAAGATTAGATTTTGAAGAAATTTTAATTTTGGCCAATAATTTTTGAAGATTAAGGTAGCATTACCTTTGATATTTCTAACTACTAGTTTTATATGTTTTGTCAAGATTTGAGCACTTCTTGAATCAAAGATTAAATAAGTATATACTAAATTAAGATAAAATAGATTATTTATATATTATTTAATAATATAAAATAAAAGTAGATAAAAAATGATTTCATATTTTATGATATTTCAAAAATAAAATAAGAAAAAGTTTGTATTTAAAAAGCATTCAAAATAAAAATTACTTAATGGATTGTAAATTTTACTAAGCAAAGATCTTTTAGTTGTCATCTATATTATTAAATGTAAGAGATGAAAAAATAAGAGATTTGAAGCAATAGACATTTATTACTTATACTTTTGAAATTACTACATGAACTTATTTTGGATTCTATAGAATTTACATAAAATCACTTATTTAGCTTTGATAAATATAATATCAAAATTTAAAGTGTCTTTTTTGAAAAAAAATTATTTCTTCTGTCATAAATACCTCATCAAAAGCTTTGAAAATGCCACTTGTGACAAATTGAAATATTAAAAAATCTATTTGTAAACTCTATAAAATAATCATTGAATCTTTGGAGCCTTGATCTCAAAGAATCATGTCTCATAAATCTCTTATTATGCTTTTGGAAGCCAGTTATTTGTTACAAACAATCATGAAAAGAACTTTCAACAACTTAGTGGTTATGACAAGTTATAGAATCATCATTAATATTTTTTACTCACAATAATACAACTCATCATGACTTGATAATTTTTTGATGTCTGAATGCATGACTTGAAAGGTTTTCCACAATTGCAATTATAGAGGTTAGTACAAAAACCACAAGTTAACCAAAACAACAAGAATAGTAAACTCTTTTGGTGTACTTACTAATTGCCTTTACAAGATGATTAGAACCAAACATCTTGGTAAGCACTTCATTTTTTTATTTTACCTTTTCATCAATGTCATGATTAATTTTTTTTATTATTATTATTTCTTAAATATTTTGTAGAAATTTTCTATAGAAGAACTAAACCATAAACACAAACCTTCATTCCACTCTATTGCTTATTCTATTTACTTGAGGTTGATTGAAAAAGAAAAAAAAAAAAGTTATCACCAAATTGTTTGATTTAGGCATGCATTCTAAAAACATCTAGACTTACCTACAATATAAGAATAATAGAGCAAAAGTTACATTTAAAAATAATAAATTTTGTACCAACAATAATTTTTAAGAGATTAGATAATAGAATTTGTATAGATTTATTTGTAGATAATTTTTATTTGGCATCTTTTTAAATCAAACTAAAAAAAGATTCAAATAGATATGTCTCATGTATCTTCTTTATCCATCTCAAATTTTTAGACCTCTTGCATACTTAGAATGTGGTGTTCTTTGTAAATGCTATGTATAAAACCATCAAGACTAAATTTTTTCTATTCTATATTGTCAAAATCATAATGTTGTATATATCCTTCTTTGTAGCCTTTGTCTTGATAAAAATTGAGAATAAATATTATTGCACTATTGCCATTATGTTCTTATAATTTTTTTTTTTCATACCAATTACACACCAATTGTTTTTGTCATAAACCAAAAACTTATATTAATATATGTCTTAGACAATCAATTTTTGGATATCAATATTTTGCTCTATATTTGGTACATTGAGATAAATGTGCTTACAAAATATAAAAGATATTTTACTTGGAGATCCAATAAAGATTTCAATAATTTTTTTAAGGATTAGAAAGTAATAAGTCTTAAATATTATCTTTTGCAATTCAACATAGAACACTAAAAAAAGTGATTGACTAAGATTTTTTCTACTCATTGATCAAATCATGTATGCAGACATCAAAAAAGAAGTCAATAAGAGTTAGGCTTCCCTATAATAAAAGTACCAAAAATTATCCAACATAACTACATGCCTTCAAAACACCTAGATTTTTCTGCACGAGAAAAGATTTATTTGTGCATGGACAAACTTGATTTGGCATTTTTGTGCACTAATATCACATAGAAAGAGAGCTCACATGAAAATTAAAGTTTACATAACAACCAAGAGAAACAATTTACTGAGTTTTTAT